GTCCTCGCTTTGAAGAGAGCTCCCCGTGTCTCCCCCTCCTTTCTTCCTCCTTCCGCTTCCTCCTCCTCCCATCTCTGCCTCTGCTCCGCGCACGTCCACTTCGGCGCACCACTTACACTTTTCGTCACCCCATGGGAGCTCCAGCTAAGGCTCAAAAGCCAGGGTCCGCATGCTGGCACGCCGCTCACACGTTTCGTGTCCGTCTAGGGAGTTCCAGCTGAGGCCCGAGCGCCAGGGTCCGTATGGCGTCGGTGCCTCATTTCGGCACCCCCTTTCCCGCGTCTCGTGGTCCCATAGGGCGCCCCAGCTAAGGCCCGCATGCCAGGATCCGCATGGCGTCTGTGCCTCATGTCGGCGCACCCCTCACACGTTTCGTGGCCCTCCAACTCAGGCTCAGATTCCAGGGTCCGCGGGGCGTCTGTGCCCCATTTTGGCACGCCCCTCGCATGTTTCGTGGCCCCATGGGGAGCTCCAGCTAAGACCCAAGTTCCATGGTTCACATGGCGTCGGCGCTTTATTTCGGTACACCCCTCCCGCGTGTCGTTGCCCCATAGGGAGCTCCAGTTAAGGCCAACATGCCAGTGTTCGCATGGCGCCGAAGGCGATACTCGCAACGCCGGTACTCACAACTGCACATGGTTGGGTCCTTCGTCTTTTTTTGGTGTGTGTGTGTGTGTGTGTGTGTGCCGCGACCGCAACCAGCAGCACCGCGCCAAGCAGCACCACTCTGACAGGCAAGTCGGTGAGCAGTACTAGTGGGAGCATCACCACGAGAGTTACGACCAGGACCGCTACCAGCAGCACCGCGCCAAGCAGCACCACTCTGACAAGGTGTCGATGACCAGTGCGAGTTAAAGTAGCACCACGAGAGGGAGTACCACGACCGCTACCAGCAGCACCGCCTCGCCTCAAGCAGCATCACACTAACAAGCACGTCGGTGAGCAATACGAGTGAGAGCGGCACCACGAGAGGTACGACCACGGCCGCTACCAGAAGCACCACGCCAAGCAACGCCACTGACAAGCACGTCGGTGAGCAGTACGAGTGAGAGCAGCTCCATGAGAGTCACGACCACGACCGCTACCAGCAGCAGCACACCAAGCAGCACCACTCCGACAAGAATGTCGGCGAGCAGTACGAGGGAGAGCAGCACCACGAGAGGTGCGGCCGCGACCGCTACCACCAGTACCGCGCCAGGCAGGACCACTCTTACAAGCACGTCGATGAGCAGTACGAATGAGAGAAGCACCACGAGAGGTACGACCACAACCGCTACCAGCAGCCCCACGACGATAAGCAACACCACCCTGACAAGCGCGTCGATGAGCAGCACGAGTGTGCACTGTGCCACAAGAGACGGGACCACGACCGCTACCAACAGCACCGCGCCAAGCAGCACCATTCTGTCAGGCACGTCGGTGAGCAGTAGGAATGATATCATCACCACGAGAGTTACGACCACGGCCGCTACCAACAGCACCATGCCAAGGAACACCACTCTGACAGGCACGCCGGCGAGCAGTACGGGTGGGAACGACACCATGAGAGTCACGACCACGACCGCTACCAGCAACACCACGCCAAGCAGACCTCTCTGACAGGCACGTCGGTGAGCAGTAGAAGTGAGAGCAGCACCACGAGAGTTACGACCAGGACCGCTACCAGCAGCACCGCGCCAAGCAGCACCACCCTGCCAAGAACGTCGATGAGCAATGCGAGTGAGTGCTGCACCACGAGGGAGTACCACGACCGCTACCAGCAGCACCACGCCAAGCACCGCCACTCTCACAGGCACGTCGGCGAGCAGTGCGGGCGAGAGCAATACCACGATTGTTACGACCACGACCGCCACTAGCAGCACCACGCCAAGCAACGCCACTCTGACAGGCACGTCGGGGAGCCGTACGAGTGAGAACAGCACTACGAGAGTAACGACCACGACCGCTACTGGCAGCACCACGCCAAGCAGCGCATCTCCGACAGACGCATCAAGGAGCACTACGAGCGAGAGCAGCACCACGAGACTTACGACCACGACTGCTGCCGGCAGCACCACGACAGGCAATGCCATTCTGACAGGCACGTCGGTAAGCAGTTCGAGTGAGATCAGTCCCACGAGAGTTTCGGCCACGACCGCTACCGGTAGCACCATGCCAAGCAGCGCCACTTCTACATGCACGTCGATGAGCAGTACGGGTGAGAGCAGCACTACATAGTTGCGACTACGATCGCTACCACTGGCACGAACACTGCCTGCTTTCCCACCGCAGCCCCATCCACTGAGCATTCCTGAGTCCTCCTGCTGTGCGCGCGCCTTCTCCCGTTCCAGGGCGTTCCGCCGGCCGACTCGCTGGCGGACCTGGGCCAGGCACGCGCTGTTTTCGCCGCCTTGCCTCGCCTCGCTCCCCTGTGGGAGGAGCCCGCCCGCTCCCCGTGTGCGCCCCCTCCCGCCTCGGCTCAGCCGCCCCTGGGGGGAGGCGCCTGCCCTCGCCGTTGCTGGGCTGGGACCTGCTACGGCTGCCAGTCACACTTCAATGCGCCAGTTCGGTGCCACCCCCCTTTGCTCCAGCCGGCTCAGGGCGCACCCCCACTGCGCGGCCCAGCCTGCGCTACCGCTCCTTGGCACCCCTCGTCAGCGGATGCCTCCTATGCGCTGGCATCTCGTGCCTGGCCGCCCAGGGCGCGCTGACCACGCGCCTCGGCAGGGCTGCCGGCCCTACCCGCGCACCTTGGGGTCGGCCACCGCCGCTCCATCCGCTTCCTTGCTGCCGGACGTCTACTGAGCTCTGCGAACCCTCTCGTCCTGCCCGCGCCACCCCACCCTCGGGGTGCACTTTGCCCAGCCCTTTCCTCTGGCCGAGCGCGGGCTGGTCTTGCCGCCCGCCGTCGGCTCCTTGCTACGGCTGCCCGGCGCCTGGCCGCCTCTTGGCCACCCCTGGCCTGGGCAGCGCGCTGCACGCCCCCGCCCCGCCTTGGCCGCCCGGGCGGAGGCGCCTGCCCCGCTGCCCCCCGCCGCTCCAGGGTCCGCCCGCTGCTGCGAAGCGGTGGCCTTCTGCAGGTGTTTGGTAACGGGCTGCCTGCCCACTGCCTCCGCCCTGGGCGGCAGCCCCTCCTCCGTCTGGCGCTGCCTGCGCCCTCCGCCCCTCTCTCCCGCCCGGTCTGGTTTTCAGGCCCGCCTTCCCGCCCTCGCGGGCGCCCCCCCCGCTGGGCCCTGCCTGCCTTGGCACCTGGGGTGGCGTTTTCGCTCTTTGTTCTGGCCCGCTGGGAGGCGCTCCCTCGTGTGCCCCGCGCCTGTCCCCCCCGCCTGTCGGCTCCCCTCCCCGGGTTGCCCTTGGGACGGTGGCGTCTCGGCTCTCTCGCCCACCAGGCTCCTCCCCCTCCTCGCTGCCACCTGCGCTTCTCCTGGGACTACCCCGCCCGGACTGGGCGTCCCCGGCAGGCTGGTCTGGCATGCGCCGCCTCCGCGACCTCGGCACCCACGGTGCGTGTCCGCCACATTGCTCTACCCACCCTGGCACTCGCTTGTCGTGCCCTGTTCGCCTCCTTTGCCTTGCCTGGTTTTCAGGCCGACCCCTCTCCCTGAGGTGGTCCCACGCTCGCCTTCCCCCCCCGGGCTGCCTCGCAGGTCACTTGTGACCTCGGTTATCCTGGACGCCACGCCGCACTGCTTTCGCCTCCAGCCTGTGCTTGACCTGCTCCCCCTGGGCGCTTCCTCCGGCGGCCGCCCGGCCTGCCTGCCCCCCAGCTGCCGCCTCGCCGGGGCTGGCCCCGCCCCCGGCGTCCCCCCGCCGCCGCCTGGCCCCGCTCTGAGCGGGCCTGGCTCCCCTTTCCCTCCAGCCCGCGCTGGGCGTCTCCCTCTCTCTCCCGTGCATGGCGGCCCAATTCGCGTTATGTGCATTACTCTTACGCCCCATCGCCAGCGCAGTGATTCTGCCCTGCCGCCGACGGAAGAAAACAAGTGTGTGTGTGTGTGTGTGTGTGAGGGGTCTTCAGAGGTTATCTGGATGCTTCTGGGGGCCTCGAGGCCTACGGGGACTGGATATTCCTGGGGATTTCGGGATTCTCCAGAGACCCAGCGACCTCCCCTGTGCTAGTTCTCGTCGTGCCTTCTTGTCCACGTTTCCACTGCGGCGTCACCTTGCCCCTCCATCCTCTGCAACCTCAAGGCGAGGGTGGCGGAAGATTGGGGCCTTTCTCGTGGTCCTCCGTCTCCCCATCCTCGTTCTTCTTCCCCACACCGTTTTCTTCTCTTTGTCCTCCTTCTCCGTCTTCCTCTGTCATCCCTGGCCCACCCTCCTTTGTCTGTCTTCCTCCACCTGGTCCTATTCCCCTTCCATTTCCTGTTGCTTAACCTCATCCCCGTCTTACTGCTGATACTCAGCCTCCTCATCCGACATTATCATCCTCGTTCTGCTCGTTCTCCTGGGTGTTCTCCCTCCCCTACTCCCTTTCCTCCTTCTTCCTCGCTCTCCTTCATCCTCGCTCTGCCCCACTCTCCTACTCCATCTTTTGTTTATCATCCCTCTTGTCGTCGTCTCGCGGATGCTGCTCCTCCTTGTCTCCCACCTCCGAAATCACCTCTTCTCCCGACCTCTCTTCCTCCTCCTCCTGCACCTCGTCGCCATCAACGTCGTCGTCGTGCTCCTCCTCCCTCTCCTCTCTTTTTTGGGGGTTAGCACATTTTATTGGTTTTTATTTTTTGTCTGATACCGCTTTGGGATCCCCCGCGAAACATGGATAAGCCTAGATGGTTTTCATAACCATTTCGGAAGCGTCCTTTTCCCTCCTCCCTGCCTCTGCTCCTCCTCTTCCTCCCTCAGAAATTGTCCCCCCAGACCTCTCCTTGGATGCGTTCTGGCCTGAACTTCGAGGCGGATCCAGCCGTGGCGACGAGAAGGCCGAGGCACACAATTGTAGAACATTGGGAAGCAATATGGATTCTCAAACCTCGAGCCTCCTCCCCATCCTCAATGCTATTTTCGCTCTATCACCCCTTTAAATGCACCAGCGCCCGAAGCCGTCGCTCAAGGGGCGCGGCAAAACCCGGCGCGGAAGCCGTGGCAGCTGGTGCCCCTTAGTCGGGCCGCCGCATGAGAGGGACACGGAGATGCTGCTGCTCTGGTTCTAAGGGGCGAGGAGAAACTGATGCGGAGCAGGATCAGGGAGGAAAGAAGGCGGAGGTGGAGGAGGTGGAGGAGGAGGAGGAAGAAGAATAGAAGGAGAATGACCCGGGAGGGGGTGAAGATGAGGTTGAGGACGAGGGTGAGGACGTGCATGACGATGATGAAGATGATGATGATGATGTTGATGATGATGATGATGATGATGATAATAATATGATGATTATGATGACGATGTTGATGACGATGATGATGTTGCTGCTGATGATGCTGCTGGTGATGATGATGATGGTGGTGTTGGTGGTGATGATACTGCTGATGATGATGCTGATCATTCTGACGCTGCTGCTGATGATGATGATGAGGATGATGATGATGATGCTGGTGGCGATGATGACGAGGATGCAGATACTGATGACGATGATGTTGCTGCTGATGATGATGATGATGATGTTGATGCTGATGATGATGCACGTGAGGATGATGACGACGATGGTGGTTATGAAGAGGACGAGGACGACGATGATGCTGCTGCTGCTGATGATAATGAGACATTTGACTGTGATGATGCCGCTGCTGCTGCTGATTATGATGATGAGCATGACGAGGAGGATAATGACGCGGGAGGTGGTGGAGTTTGACGAGGTTGAGGATGAGGGTGAGGATGTGCATGATCATGCTTATGATGATGATGCTGATCATGATCATTATGATGATGCTGATGATGACGACGATGCTGCTGCTGATGGTGATGGCCACGATGCTTGTGATGATGATGACGATGAAGATAATGACGCTAACAGTTTCGACGAAGAGGATGATGATGCTGATGATGACGCTGATGATGATGCTGACGATGATGCTGATGCTGATGCTGATGATGCTGATGATGATGTTGTTGTCGATGATGCTGATACTGCTGATGATGGATGATGGTGATGATGCTGATGATGAACATGATGATGAAGACGATGCTGATGATGATGACGCTGATGATGATGATGATGATGATGATGATGATGGTGACACTGATGATTATCTAATGATGGTGCTGATGCTGATGCTGATGTTGATGAGGTTGACAATGTTAATGATGCTGCTGATGATGATGACGATGCTGCTGATGATGATGATGATAATAATGATGATGTTGGCGGCGAAGGTGATGATGGCACTGCTGCTGCTGCTGATGATGATGCTGATGATGCTGATGATGATGATGATGCTATTAATGGTTGTGGTGGTTGTTCTGATGTTGCTGCTGCTGGTGGTTGTGGTGGTGCATGTGGTGGTGGTAGTGGTGGTCGTTATGATGATATTGATTCTGATGGTGATGACGACGATGCTGCTGCTGATGATGATAGTGATGATGGTGATGATGATGAGGATAATGATGATGATGCTGCTGATGATGATGATGATGATGATTCTGATTTTTGTGGTGATAGTGGTGGTGGTGAAGGAGGAGGAGGAGAAGGAGGAGGAGACGGAGGAGGAGACGGAGGAGGAGACGGTGAAGGATGATGGTGATGATAATGATGATGAGGAGGATGAGGAGGAGGAGGAGGAGGAGACGATATTGGTGTGGGAGAGAAGGTGAAGGATGGAGATGGAGGAGGAAGAGGAGCAGGAGGAGGAGGAGGAGGAGGAGGAGGAGGAGGAGGATTATGACATGGACGGATCGAGATCAGGATTTAGCCCTGCAGAGGGGCGGACAACGGGGGATCCTGGAACAGCGCAGGGGGCAGAGGGAAAGGAACCACGGACGTTAGGGCGAGATGGAACGAGGGAAGGCGCGGAGTAGGCGGGGGGCGGTCAGGCACGTATGGAGAGCGCCACGCAGGGAGTGGATTGGAGCGGACGAGGAGGGAGAGGAAGACATCGAGGGACCGAAGGGAGCACGCGCCGCCACACACCACCCAGCCTTGCAAGGGGAGCCCACGCCGCTGCCGCCCTCCAGCCCATCTCTCCCACCCCC